AGATGAGGTTTAGATTTGATATTAGGGAAAATTTCCCCATGGAAAGGGTGGCCAAGTGCTGGCACAGGCTGCCCAGGGCAGTGGTGGAATCACCATCCATGGAAGTATTCAGAAAATGTGTAGATGTGGCACTTGGGGACATGGTTTTGCAGTGGAGTTGACACTGGGGGAACGGTTGGACTTGATGACCTTAGAGGTCTTTTCCAACCTAAAGGATTCTGTGACTCTGTGATCTCAGCTGGAGGAGAGCAGGGAAATGGGAGCAGGACTGAGAAAGAAACCTCCAGAGATGCCTGCTCTGAGGGTCAGAGCAGGGTCATTTGTCTCCCTTGATTGTTGAAAAGATCATGGGCAGGTGAGAGGCAGGAATATCCTGCTGGATGATGTACCAAGAGAACATGGGGCATCTTTTTATCTTTTTTGGTTAGAGATATCTAAAACATTTCCACTGAAGCTGGAGAGTAAAGAGAAGAAAAGGTCAACCAAAGTGACCACAGTTGTAGAAAATGGCAGCAGCTGGAATTGTGGCTTTATTCCAAAATGGCATTTGGTGTCACTCATGTAGATGATTCTACAGCCCTCTCACAGCTTTGTCTTCTGACAGCTGATGTGTTTCCGTTTGGTTTAAGGGAAAGCTTGAACTGGGTCTTCTGCCTGTTTTTTTCTCCTTCCACCCCCATCCTGACCTGGCCAGGCTGCGTCATCGTCATAATCCCGAGCTGGCTGCCTCTCTGTGCTTCCCAGCCACTAAAACACAGCGCTGAAAACCACCGGATTAGGTCTTAACGGCAGGATCAAGTCAGCAGGAGATGAGTGGGGAGAAAGCTCCTGCTTACGCAGGTGGACAGGCGGCACTCCTAGAGAAAACAAGCTGGAAAGCCTAAAATATCAGAAAAACATCTTCTTTCCTGGCCTCTCTTGCTTTTCTCTCCATTTAATACAGCTTTCATTTTCCAAGGGTCACAAAACTCTGGTCTGAGTTTTGTGAAGACAATATTGACGGGTCAGAGGTGTCTAAACATTTCCTCCCTTTCAGAGGAAAATGTCTTGAGTGGTGGACGTTCTGTCCAAGATGTTAATTCCCAACACTAAATTCTGTGACCCCTACCAGAGATCTGGGCTGTGCCGTATCGCGGAGTGCTGGAGCATCCTGGGGGTCTGTGGTTGTCTGTTCCACCTGTGCTGGTGATGCTCCTGGAACACAAAGAGCCTGGGAAGTGTGTTGGATATTTTCCAGGGTGGCTTTTCCATTGAGCAGTGGGATGCTCCAGAGGAGGGTTTCAGGTGGCAGGTGGCACAGCATCCCTGTACTGACCAGTCCTGTGGCCACCCTGCTCTTTAGGTCATCCAGGGCTCTCGGTCAACAGGGCTCCGAGGTGTTGGAGTTTATCAGCCTACATTGACCAAGAGAAGTTGTGGCTGCTCCATCCCTGGAAGTGTTCAAGGCCAGGTTGGATGGGGCTTGGAGCAACCTGGGATAATGGAAGTTGTCCCTGCCCATGGCAGGGGGTGGAATGAGGTGAACTTTAAGGTTCCTTCCAGACCAAACCATTCTGTGGTTCTATGATGCACCTGTGAAGAAAGTGTGATTTTTTCTGGAGGCCGTGTGATGGTGAGGGGGGGTGATGGAGACTTTCTCCTCTGAGTTTGCTTGGCAGAGCCTGTGAACTTTCCATCCAAACCTTTCAGGGAGGGGGTGGGTTATGCTGGTGGGACATCTTTGGACCGAGTTGTCCTCTTGAACATCCTCTCCTCATCTTGAACAAAACATTGCACTCCCCCCAAATGAATACCTGTATGAAGCAAAGATTCTCTCACACATGGCTCATGCACCCAGGGAGCCCTAGCAGTGCATGGGAGGAGGAAGAGGAGGAGGTTGAGGACAGGCTTCAGCAGGCATGGAGCCAGCGATGTCTCCCAGCCCCTGCTGGAGCTCAGCTGAGCCCCATGCTGAGGGGGATAGCATTCCTGATATGATATCAGGGGTATGATTCCAGCATCCATTTTTCCAGCTCCTGTGTGGAAACCAGGCTGGAGGACAAAGTCCAGCCCAGAGCTCCATTTCCCTCCTCCTATTCTGCTTCATGTGCCATCTCCTGTCTAAGAGATGATCGTGTTATTAAATTAATTTAATACACAGAATTCAGATTTCCCCTAGTCAGAAGCTTTTGCTCAAATTTTAGGAAATTGTCAGTATTTGTGAGGTATCAGCAAGCATAAATACAAGAGTGCCAGCTTAGGCAATTGCTCCAGCCTCTAAAAAATGGGAAAGGAGAAAAATTGGAGTGTGTATGTTTGCATGTGGGGAAAAGGAGTCTACCTTCTGTTCTGGGTTTCCATTTTCCTTCCTCTTCCTTGGTCACTGGTGCCTGAGCTGCTTTTTCAGACATAGAGAATTCCTGATAGATAAAGGAAATTTCCGAGAATTTAATATATTTAACCTCAAAACCAAGGAAGAGCCCAGACTGGCTCTGAGAACTGATGATATCTTCTCCAAGCACTCTCACAAAGGCAGGTGCAATTAAAAGGCTTATTTATTGTGGGATGGGATCACCCTTTGGATGGGCATTGTCCAGCTGTTTTGGGGCAGATCTCCCCTTGCTGAGGTGCAAAGACTGTTGGCTGCTCTCCGTGCAGGGAAGGAGGGTGCTGCAGTCCTCCGCCTGCGGTTGCCCAGGTATGATGCTTGGCAGAGCCTGGCTTAGTTCAGTGTGCAGCTTCCCTTTCGGGGCCAAACTTGACGTTTCTGTCTCCTAATTCCACATCTATGACCTCTGTGGGGCTGCACCTGCTTCTTACTGGGTTAGAGTTGGGCCCTGGATCTACTCTATCCATTGGGCTGGATGTAATGGTGTCCTTAGGGCTTTCAAGTGGGTGGACAAAGGAGCCATTTCGAAGCTGCTGTGAACAAGGCGGAATATGATGGTGAAGAGGAAGAGTCCGAGATGGGTCTCTCTCCAGGCAGGGAACGCTCTGAAATGCTCAGAGTGGGGTTTTGGGGGGTAATTTTTCCCAGCCCTTTGTCTATGAAGAATGAGGTCTGTGGAGGGAGGCAGGCTCCCAGAGTAAATGCTTCAGCTCTGTTGTTCCCATCATTTCCTTTGAGCTCGTGAATCCCCCTATGAAACACTTACCTTTCACTAGTATGATTAAGAAAAGGCCAATGTAGCTTTCCTGCTCACTGGAGCATGAAGCGTGTTTAATTTAATAATGCTGATAAATCTTAAAGCCAGGAGCATTTGGCTAACGCATGACCCACTTTTTCAATCAATTGGAAGCATTTACATAACGGCCTGATGCAGGGTTCCTCCTGCGAGGGATGTGGAGCCAGGGATGGCAGACACACTCCCTATGGAAGGACAAGGGGGAAAGGCTTTTAACTGAAAGAGGGGAGGATTAGATGAGATTTTAGGAAGGGATTCTTCCCTGTGAGGGTGGGGAGGCCCTGGCACAGGTTGCCCAGAGAAGCTGTGGCTGCCCCATCCCTGGAAGTGTCCAAGGCCAGCTTGGACGGGGCTTGGAGCAACCTGGGATAATGGAAGGTGTCCCTGCCTATGGCAGGGGGCTGGAATGAGGTGATCTTTAAGGTTCCTTCCAACCTAAACCATTCCATCATTCTATGATTCTATGTCAAGCCAAAAGGTACTGATAAGGGTGGGAAGGAGAATATTTCTGAGGCAGAAGGTGATGCCATTGGAGACCAGAGTGATGGGAATGGGCTGAGAAACTATAACACGTGGGCAGGGGCACCTTCCACTAGTGCAGGTTGCTCCAGGCTTTGTCCAACCTGGCCTTGAACACTTCCAGGGATGAGGAATGCACAACTTCCCTGGGCAATCTGTTCAGTGATCCTGTTCCAGTGTTCAACTCATTTCATTTCTTATCCTTCTTGTGACGATTTCATCTCTTTTTTCATTTGTAACATCCAGCAGCCTCAAGACCTGTGTTTACACATAGGTCACAAGCAACCTAATTCCCAGTGAGCTGGTGTCCTTTAGCTTTAGGGAATGCCATCTCCCTGCAAACCACATGGTTTTATCCATTTTAGGTTTCATAATAACCTCTAGAAAGAGGTTTTACATCAAACCAGTCTCCCAGCCATGGTTTGTGCATTGCTGTTGTTTATTCATCCCGACTTGCATTAAAGCAATACTTGAGAACTGGTTTATCTCCCATTTTTTTGATCATGTAAGTCCCTGTCTGAGCAAAGGGGAATGCCAGATGCTTGTAAGAAGGATGAAAAATGTCCCATCTGATACAGACTGAGAGATTAAATACCACAAGGGAGAATTGCTCTGTATCTCTCAGTGTTGCACGTAGAAGGATGCTGCCACCTCCCTCTGGGATGGGACTGCTCTCCCCATGCACTGGGCTGCAGGGACATTTCATATGCCACGTCCTTGTGCAGAGATACTCCTAAAGAGCCACCAGGAATGAAAGATGAAGGATTTGTTACCATTCAGTGATTTTTTTTTTCCCCTTTGCCTTCAAAACATAGGCAGCCCCCCTAGAGGGCAGAGGAGGAAAGAGGGAGACAATAGAAAAAGAAAGGAACATGGTTTCATTAGATACATGTAATATGAATGGCTAGAAGTGGCGTGGTCCACACAATGCTCAGCTGGGGAGCTCACAGGTCAGGATGTGTGGCAATCGGGATGCCAGTTCCATTCCTCCCTGTTCTGTGCTCCTGGAGTGAGATGGATAGTTCCTGGCTACTTAAAAACTGGCTTTTGGTTTTCTGAGCACCCATTCATGCTGGAAATGGTGAATTTTGGTTTGCTAGGTAGGTGCTGTGTGTCTTTTAAAGTCCCAGTTCAGCCACTGGTGTTTGGCCAGGCTGCTCATCCAATGCCCTGGTCCTTCATCCGCAGTTGCTTTTTGGCCGTGCCACCTGGGACACCGGAGTCTTTGCTCCCATGCTCTGCTGCTTCTGCAGTGTCCATCCCAAGCTGAGGAACCTGCCTGTTTTAAGAGCAAACCTTTCCCCTCTCTGTGCCCAGGTGATACGGCCGTGGTGCTGTCTGTGTGCCAGGGCTGCCCTCCCAGCTATTGCACGTCTCCCATCCCCTGGTAGGAAATGGAGTCCAAGGTCTCCGAAGGTGGCCTGAACGTCACCCTCACCATCCGACTGCTGATGCACGGCAAGGTAAGGGGCTCCCAGAGACGGGATTTCCTCACAGATCCCTCTCCCACCTCCGCCTGTGCCCAAGTCCAGCCCCGCAGAGCATCCCAGCCCTGGGAATAGCTGTCCTCCTGCTGATGGGGAGGGTGGCATGGTGCTCCTGGTCCCTCTCATACCTGCCCCCCACCCTGTTCTTCTGCTGGGGGTGGTGTCCACCAGGTCTTTACTTCATTATGAGGGTGGGCCAGACTGTCATCACATTTTCTAATGTCAATTCCTTTGTTTCTGATGCTTTTTTTGTGTAGGAAGTCGGAAGCATCATTGGGAAGGTAAGGATGTCTTTTAATGCAGCATTAATGCTGTTACCTGTACCTGTGATGTGGTAGATGCCAGTCACCTCTTCCCTGTGATGTCCTGAAAAGTCTGGGGTGCATGAGCTGGTTGCTGCATTTCTGAGCCAGAATTTAGGAGACACCCACACAGGGATCAAAGACCATTCCCCTAAAAACCCCACCAACCACCAGACTTCCCCAGTGCTGTTCCCAGCTGTTTCCCAGGGGTGATGACTGGGAGTTTGCAGTCATGTTGCTCAGATGTTTTAATCAAACAGCTTTATTAACAGATAATACAAATGTCACATAGACCCATTTAAAATATAATTTAAATGGAGGCCACAGGACTCCATTTACCTTGTGCAGAAAAGCTTCACGAGGTGCTCTGCTCTCTGGTGCTTGTCAGGGTGGTTTGGAAAGTCCTGGCTATATAGGATTAGGGGTTTTTTTGGGACGGTTTTAAAAGGCAGGTTTATGGTGGCAAAGATTTGCAGCATAAACATATTTTCCCTATATGCTTGTGCCTTATTTTTCCATCAGCCTGTCCAACTCTGGGAATATTCACAGTTGTGAATCTGTATATTTATCTATCTATCTATCTATCTATCTTATATGTATCTTTGATGACTTACACACTAATCTCTTCAGCTGTCCATCATGTGGGGATGCAGGGCCAGGCATCACTGAGCTGCCCATGCTTTTGGCTACGTGTTGCCATGTTTTAGGCAGATGCATGTTTGGAAGGGTTGTTTTGAAGGTGGAAAGTCTTGGATTTTCAGTAATCGCCTGTTTTTCACTCTTATTCCAGAAAGGAGAGACCGTGAAGAAGATGCGTGAGGAGGTGAGTGACCTGCTCTGTGACTGATGTGTAGGAGGAAGGGAGAGCAGAGTGGCCAGAGCTGTACATTGCCCTGTGCAATTCGTGCAGTAACTCCCAGGGTCAGAACAAGCAAGCCAGCTGTCCCTAGAGCTCTTTGGACCAGCTTCCTCCCTCCACACTCAAATAAACTTCTATCACAATTAAAAGGGAATTTTCCAGAGCCAAGAATTTGCTCTTAATGAAATATTGAAATTAAGTCACTCGTAAGATGCTTTGAGTTTGTCCAAAGTCTTTGTGTCTGCAGCTCCTAGGAAGTTATCAGGGCAGTGAGCAGCACTCTTCTTTTCACAAGCAATGACTCCATGAGCTGGTCTTGCTTCAGTCCCATGGGTTTCCATTACAGTAAAAAACTGGAAACTCTTTCTGAGGGTTGGAATAAGACAGTGCTGGAATCACTGCAGATGAGGGGTGGGAGTTTGGAAGGTTAGATGGGATAGGCTGGGACAGGTGACAACCAGGACAATCAGGCTGAGAGAGGACCCGACCCAAGTGCTTGGCTGTGGCTATTCCAGGACTGCTTTTCTCTCTCCAGAGTGGGGCAAGGATCAACATCTCGGAGGGAAACTGTCCTGAGCGTATTGTGACCATCACTGGCCCCACCGATGCCATATTCAAGGCTTTTGCCATGATCGCCTACAAATTCGAGGAGGTGAGAAATGTGAGCCATCCCACAGCTGGGGACAGCAGTGCAGATGGGCCTGGGGACCTCCAGCCCATATGTGCCTGGTTGGACTTGCTTAACTGGGACCTGGCCTCAGCACAGAACCTTCCAGACATCGCTGACTAGGCAAGAACTGAGCACAAGTCTGATGAGGAGCAGCTGAGGGAGCTGGGGAGGGCTCAGCCTGCAGAAAAGGAGGCTCAGGGGGACCTTCTTGCTCTCTACAACTTCCTGACAGGAGGGTGTAACCAGGGAGGAGTTGGTCTCTTTTCCCATGTAACAAGTAATGGGACCAGAGGAAATGGCCTCAAGTTGCACCAGGCAAGGTTTAGATTGGATATTTGGGAAATTCTTCACTGGAAGGGTGGTCAGGCATTGGAACAGGCTGCCCAGGGCAGTGGTGGAGTCACCATCCCTGAAAGTATTCAAAAGGTGTGTGGATGTGGCACCTGGGGGCACGGATGACTGATGGACTTGGCAGTGCTGGGTTAATGGTTGGACTCGATGATCTTAGAGGGTTTTTCCAACCTTAATGATTCCATGATTCTGTGATTCAGTGAACTGTCCTGGAGGTCCCACAGTTAATTAACTGCAGGGAGGGGCAGTGATGCAGCTGCAGACAGAGACCAGCCACGTCTGGGGGACATGACCCCTCCTCCCTAGCCCAGGGCACTTGGGTTGGCGTCTGGTCGGGTACCAAGGGCTCATGTGCTGCACTCTTCCTTCCCAAGGACATAACCAACTCCATGAGCAACAGCACCGCTACCAGCAAACCTCCAGTGACACTGAGACTGGTCGTGCCAGCGAGTCAGTGTGGCTCGCTGATTGGCAAGGGAGGCTCCAAGATCAAGGAGATCAGAGAGGTAAGTCAGACTTGAACGAAGCCACTTCGTTATTGCACGTCACCGCAGCTCCTCGGAGCTGATCCGTGACCAAGGGGGAGCTGCCTTGGAAAAGGGGATCCTTATGCTGCATCGTGCATCACGTTGCTTCCCAGGGTAGTCTTGCTGATGTAGGAGCAGGATCCCATGGGATGCCATGTGCGGGGCAGTGCGGCTCTCGGGAGGCGCGTGGCACCAGAGCTGGAGCTGGCTGCAAGGGAAGGTGTTCAACTGTGGGATTTGTCCTTTCTCTCTTTCTGTCTCCAGTCAACAGGTGCTCAGGTTCAAGTGGCGGGGGACATGCTGCCCAACTCCACGGAGCGGGCAGTGACAATCTCGGGGACACCTGACGCAATTATCCAGTGTGTCAAACAGATCTGTGTGGTGATGCTGGAGGTACAGTCTGTAACAAAGGGGGTAAAGTACATAAGGAAAAAAATCCCAGCTGGCACCACAACAGCACTGGGAGCTGTGGAGCGTGTCTCTCGTCCCCTTCACCACGCGTTGTTGGACCACTCTCATTTCCTGGTACCTCTGTTGGAAACCCACCCAGCGTTTTTTTCCCACCATTGTCTGTTGTTTCTAGAGTCTCACACTGGAAGCCTGCCTGGTCGGGTGCCCCAAAGGAGATGGTTTGTGCTGGAGCAGAGAGGGTGGCTTGAGGAGAGAGGGGTGCCAGGTGGGCTGGGACAGCCTAGCCTGGTGTCCCAGCAGCATCCAGGGTGCCATGGGAAGGAGATGGGGGCAGCAGCCCCTCCTCCAAGCACCTGGTCTCTCCTCTGCACAGGGGTCACAGTGCCCCACAAGGACAATAGTCACGAGGAGGAGGAGGAGGAGTAGGCTAGTGCATCCCTTGTGCTGGGGGAGCTGAGAACACAAAGCTGAGCTCCAGTGAGGCACAGTGGGAACGTAGTGAGGAAGGCTGGTGGAGAGCAGGGACTGTAGTGCACATGGATGTATGTCCAAGGTGCCATTTTCAGGGATAAATGCTGACAAGCAGAGCTTGGAGATCTCTGCCATGGAAGGATGCCGCTATACCATTGGCTTATTGCTGGAGGTTACCACAGCCACAGGTCCCACGTCCACACCTGCCATCTCAGATTGGAGAAGCTCCAGGAGGAAAGCCCTCGGGACACAGGATGTTGACACCCTCTGCTCCTGGTGCCTCCCAGAGATAGACAAAGCAGGGACCAATGTCAGGCCCCTCTGCCTGGCTGCACAGCCCTTTTGTGGTAGAGAGGAGCACATTTCCCAATGGAAAAGCTTCAGATGGGGATGGCAAGGCTTGGTGGAGGCAAAGCAAATCCAAGTTAAAGCACCTTCAGCTTGGCAGCAGCACAGTTCAGGAGGAATAGCCAGGAGCCACATTTCCCATCATGGCTGGCTGTGATGCTCAGGCAGCTACACTGCTGCTAGAGGAAGTTTAGGCACATGATGACTCTGTGTCATGGACTGCAGCAGAGATGAGCCTGAGGTGATGCTTGCAGGTGTGTTATAAAGTGTTTCCTGGATGCTCTTCTCACAAAGCAAGAGGTGCTGCTCCTCTGTATGGCTCAGCAATTAGAAGGGGAAAAACCCACAGAGTTTTCTTGCAGTCTGAAATCTGGGAATTCCCTGACTTTAACAGTTCAGAGATGCTCCTTATCCCTTTTCAGTCTTACATAGATAATCCTGACTCATCCTCTCCAAGATTTGTAACGCAATAGAAGAACAAAGAGGCTTGGGATGATAGAGATGTGCTTTGATCATGCAGCTTTCCCACAGGCAGGTGCTTAGCAGGAGGATTTAGATATGCTGTTTGCCTTCAAGTAGATGTCTAGAAGAATGTACAGAAAAAAAGCAAAATTTTCCATGAGATCATGTAATTTATATTGCTTTTCCTTATATAGCAGTCAGTGGGTCATTTAGTTTTGGGTAGAAGCAGGGGAGCTGAAATCTCTCCTGATTCCTAAAAACCTCCCTGTTTTCTGCGGCCTGTTAGTTATGTTCAAGTGAAAACCAACACAGAGAACTTGGGTGAGCAGCTCCTGTGCACCACACCATGGGATGACTCACTACAGCTCTGCTCTGACCTACGCAGGGACCGGACAGGCCACAGCAGCCAAGAGCAAGATCAGAGAGTCATGGAATCATGGAATGGTTTGGGTTGGAAGGGACCTTAAAGACCTCCTAGTTCCAACCCCTTGCCATGGCAGTGACACTTCTCACGTGACCACAATGACAGTGCCTCGCAGCATCCACTGCACAGCCATCCACATCCCAGCTGGGATGGCCGTGGACCAAACCAGCTCCTGAAGGTGACCCTGACCTGCTGGTGAGGAAGATGAGGGCGGTCAAAGAGCTTGAGCAGTGTGCTGGGTCGCTCAGATGGGCTGTACCTCTCCATTCTGCTGCTTGAGGGCCTCCTCAGGGTTTTGAGGAGGGTTCCAGGAGTCTGGACCAGGTGACGGGGTTTGCGCAGAGCAGAGCAAAGGTGAGGGAGGCAGCAGAGGTCCAGGAAGCGATTTAGGAGCCCGTGCCGTGGCAGGGGATCTCCCGTACCCCAGGTTGTCCTCACTGTCCATGAAATGCTGCTTTTCCTTGTGTCCTCCTGTCCAGAAACGCGGTGTTACTGGTGCGGGTGTTGCTGCCGGTGGCCCCGGGGGCCGCGCTCCATTAGGTGCTTTCTAACGCTCTTTTTGCCGCCGTTTCAGGAAAGCTGTTCTAATGTTCTCTCTCCCTCTCCTTATCCCTTTTCCTAGTCCCCACCAAAAGGTGCCACCATTCCCTACCGCCCAAAGCCCGCCTCCACCCCTGTCATTTTTGCAGGTGGTCAGGTAAGAGCCGACCCGCTTGCAGCCTCCACTGCCAACCTCAGCCTTTTACTGCAGCACCAGCCGCTGCCCGTTAGTGCACTCAGGTTTCTTGCCTTCTGACTTGCATGGTGTCATCCCATCCGTTGTGTGCCATGGCAGCTGGACTGAAAGCTCTTGGTAGAGCCGATGGCTTACCTCCTCTAACGGATGCTGGAGGCTGAGAAGAAGGAAGGGACCAGCTCAGAGAGACAGGGTGTTAGCTCTGCTGGGTGCTCACACACAATGAAAAGCCTGGAATTTGCTTCACTAGACCCAAATTCCGTATTTGTCAGTGGTTAAGAAGGAGAAAATTAGAAAAGCATCATTGAACAAGAGGCCCTGACTGTTTTCTGGCATCTCCAGCCCAATTAAAACTATCTTTGTGTAGCTGTAATGGATCCAAGATAGGAAGGGTTTATCCCAGCTCCTGCAGGGCTGTGCTGAACCTCTGCTCCAGGCAGCCTCTGTGGAAGAGTCATGTCCCCATTCCTCAGGATGCTCAGCCAGTTTGGGGTCCTGCTTCCCCCCTGCAGGAGAGCTTGCATTGCATTGCCCTCGGTGACATTGCAGCCTTGCAGACGCGACGTGCTATTTGTAGCCACCCTTGGGGACATTTTGCCTTTGCAGGATAACTGTGGCACGGATGTGCCATGGGAGCTGGAGGTTATTCTGCAAACGAAAATCAGCAGAAACAAGAGCAGTTTTGAGCAGACAGCTGTTTCTAAACAGGGAACTTGCACCATTGCTTTTTCCACCTCATCTCGTCATCTCACCTGGTGACTGAGGACCTGCCTGTAGATGCCACCATGCTGTGGTGCCTCAGATCTAGCAGGAGATGTACCTTCCCAAGAGCTCCAGCAGCCAGGTAGAGCCAGCACCATGAAACCACAGCTGATGCCACCCAGAGCGGCTCCAAATGAGTTACTTCATTTCTCCCCAACCATAATAAATAGAAGGACAAACTAGGGATGGGAGCAAAGCCCAAAGCACAGGCTATTTTAGGCTGAATTAGTCATTGTCAGGATCAGGAGTGTTTCACTCAGTCTGAGCAGCCATCCTGGAAAAGAGCTTTGAGTCCAGCTGCTTGGTGAACTATCTTCTCAAAAGGGAGAGTAAGATGGAGGTAGCATTTCTCCTGCTGGTGAATGGTTGGTGTCTTGGACAGAAGTGATGTCACAGGAAAAAGCAACCATCTCTGAAATGAGAGCTCTTCCCAAGGCTGGGAGCCCTTTGGCCCTGCCCAAGGGGTGGCACGGGGTGGGTGGGCAGAGGACAGCCAGTGACAGTGGTGACAGGTGCTTGGGGTGGGATAAGCCTTCAGGAGCTCAGCAGGCTGAGGGATGCGGCAGCTGATGGCAGCTGCCAAAGGGACCAGCCCCATCATCCATGGGCAACATCAGAGTTGAGTTGCATCTGTCCAAGACATCTTCCTGCCCTTAATTACCTTTTTTCACTCAATTTTTCTATTCAAAAAACAATGACCAAATTGCACCACCAGGACAGGCAACTCTTCGGTGAAGCCTCTGCCATATCCCCATCATGCCAAGATGTCAGTGGGCACTGGGACAGCCATTTCTGTTTTCCTCCTTCATGATTTTGAGGGTTTTCCTCACACAAGGCACTTTGCTATTTGCAAAGAATGTGGCAAATTTGCAGGAGGTTCCAAGGGTTTTTTTTTTTTCTTTTTTTCTTGGCAGTCTTTACTCTCCCTTTTCAAAGTGTTGTCCATTTCTTTTGTCATTTCTTTCAGAACCATCTGAATAATGTGTCAACCAGTGAGATATGTTTTGCTAGCTGGTTAAGTCCTAAATATTGGGCTCTCTAGTATCTGGCTCTTCACCCAGATCTGTGCTTATTTTTGGGTTATTTCCGAAAAAAAGTGGAGAAAGGATTGCTACAAAGGATGGGAAAAACACACAAAGCCACTTGCCTGGCAGATATCTGCATGGATTTATCAATTATGACTGGTGAAAGGCATCGCAGTGCAGGCGGCCTAGCCCTGGGCCCTTACCTCAATGCCTTTCCAATGCCCCAGCAGAGCACTGGAACATACTGGGTGGATATTAGGCATCCACTGGGAGTTGTGCACCTGAAAATATGGAGAGGCTCACGTCACTGGCTTGCTTTCTAGGATCACACTAAGGTGTGAAGGGCAGCGGTGATGTCACTGTGCACCTGCCACGCAGTTAATTCTGGTTATCACTGAATCACAGAATGGTTTGGGTTGGAAGGGACATTAAAGATCGTCCAGTTCCAACCCCACTGCCACTAATCCTTATTTTTTGTACGGCAAAGACCAGTCACAACCTGAGATTCCTGCTCCATGCAATACTGGCACCTTTAAAGAGCTGCTTATTTCCTTTTGAAAAAGCCAAAGTGAGCCCAAGCCCTTGAAGTCAGGTAGCTCAGAATTGCGCCGGGTGGCATCAGGGGTGTACATCTCCCTCCTGACCCAAGGATTTGCTGCCCTGGGGAATCTAATGTGGCAGAGGGGGTCCTGGCAGAGGGATGGAGTTCTCTCACCATGTCCTACCAGCCCTAGTAACATCTTTTTTTTTCCTTTGCAGGCCTATACAATTCAGGGACAATACGCTATTCCACACCCGGATGTGAGTTTTACCCTAATTTTTCTTATACCCTTTTCTGTCACCTGCATGCTACTGTTAATTCACATAATATTAATATTAGCCAATAATATTAATAACGTATTTTCAAAGTAACTGGCCGTTTGTAGTATCTGTAATACCTCAAGTAGCCTTTTAACCTCTTAGCACTAAACTTTATTACTTCCGAGGACTTGGCCTGACGCTAAATTGTTTCCGTTGTTCAGTGCTATCCCTTCATTTTGAGAAAAACCATACTCTATGCATTTTGTGCCTCAAAATGATCAAAACAAGCAAAAAAAAAAGAGGAAAAAATAATAATTTCCCCTCTATTTCCCCCTTGTCGTTAAAATGTTGGTAAGCCAAAGGTGTATTTAGTTGCTGAGTGCCTTGGTGGAGTGGGGAGAAGCCAGAGCTCCAGGAGGTTCATGCTTGAGGCCAGGGCAGGGGGACATGCCTTTCAGGAAGGGGAAGGGTGGGGGGGCCTCCCAGAAATTGGGAGCCTCTGCATCTCCCAGAGAGATGGAGAGGGTGCTGCATCTCACCCTGCTGAGGGCTCTGTGCCTCCCCACAGGAGCAGGACCCCAGACTGATGTGGTCACCCTGGGTTTGATGGCTGTCTCACTGGGTTTCGGCAGCTGTCACCCAGGGCAGGGACATTGTGGGGACAGTCCCCCCTCCATCTCAGGCTCCTTGGTGCAGGGGCAGGCACCACTCTGACTTGGGGTTTGCTGATACTCAGATCCCTTGGGCTCCCAGTCCTGTGGCAGGTCAGGGGGACGCAACACGTTTGCGGGGGGACACGTAGGGATCATCAGCTGGACTGTCTGCGCCTGAAATCACCAACAGAATTAGAAAATGAGTCTGTTTAAAGGATTTCTATATGGAAAGCAGTGAAGCACTGTGATGCCAGCAGCTCCTTGCCAGCATCAGGCAGCTGCTTGGCTTCTGGGGTGGTCACAGCTCTTGGAAAATGCTGGGACTTTCTAAATGTGCTTTCGAGGGGATAAAATACCTGTCGAGTTCCATTGCAGGGGTCCTTCTTGCTGTGAGTCAGGGGTCTGCAGTGGGGCTGAGGATGTGGTGATGGGTGGAAAGCCTTCTCCAGCCATCCCAGGCATGGGAAGGGTATGATGTAGCTCGGTGTTCCTCTTTCCAATGGGTGCATTGGGTATTAAATCACAGAATTGCTTTTTCCATACCTGAGAAGGTGGCAAGGCTGTTTGATATCACGAATGCCCTCTCCACATGGGAACCTTTAGGAGCTGTAGGCTGGGTTTTCATCCTAGGAGAAGTGATTTCACTGGAATTAGTGGAATCCAGGCTCTGGCTTTCCATGTGACACCAGTATGTGTGTACTCTGAATAGCCTGCTGTGATGGTTGATAAGAAATATTCTTAGTTATGTACTGTTTGCTTTTGCTCCAGAAGCAAGAAATAACCTGCATATTTAGGGTAGGTCAATATAGTGTTTATCCCAGTTTTTCTTTGCAAGTAGTGCTGACAACTTAGTCTTTTCCTTCTTACTATATTCCTCAGATTGTCAGGATTAAAATACATTTAATATATTTGCTGGCTGAGCTCTGCCCCACTCCCGGCAGATTTACTGAGACCTGGGAAGAATTGTTGGTACAGGGGCCATGCACTCCCTCCTTACTCTTACAGTGCTCTCACAGTGATTGGTCATTTTAAACAATGCTCAGTGCAGAATCCAGTCTTGAATGGGATTTTAGGGCATTTTAAACACATTCTAGGTGTCTGTGTTTAGTGGGTGCCCCTGGAAAAGCAGGAAGAATTTTGAATGCCAAATGCATGTTCCTGCCTTGATTTTCTCCCTTGGAAAAAAAACCTCAGGACAGAGGCAGCTTTGGCTCATGAAGAGCTTCAACATTGCCCGAGTACTTGTAGGCAGTTTGGGATGTGAAGTGTAGCTGCCTGCTTTCCCAAAAGTTGTGGGATCCTAGAGTCACAGAAGGGTTTGGGTTGGAAGGGCCCTGAAAACTCATCTCATTCCAGCCCCCTGCCATGGGCAGGGACACCTTTCATTAGACCAGATTGCTGCAGGTCCTGTCCAATGTGGCCTTGAAGACTTCCAGGGATGGGGCAGCCACAGCTTCTCTGGGCAACCTGTGCCAGGGCCTCACCACCCTCACAGGGAAGAATTCCTTCTGAAATAATATCCTGTCTAACCCTGCCCTCTGTCAGTGGGAAGCCATTCTGCCTTGTCCTGTCACTCCAGGCCCTTGTCCCAAGTCCCTCTCCAGCTCTCTTGGAGCCCCTTTAGGCACTGGAAGAGGCTCTAAGTTCTCCCTGAAGCCTTTTCTTCTCCAGGCTGAACACCCCCAGCTCTCCCAGCCTGTCTCCAGAGCAGAGAGGCTCCAGCCCTCAGAGCAAATCCGTGGCCTCCTGTGGACTCACTCCAACAGATCCATGTCCTTGATGTGCTGGGGATCCCAGAGCTGGATCCAGCACCCCAGGTACAGTCTCACCAGAACAGAGGAGAAGAATCCCCTCCCTTGACCATGGAAGATGAGCTGGAAGAGATGGACATAGCAGCTTTCACTGTGACACCTGGGCGCAGCCATGTTCTCCTCTCACAGGCTTATTTATTGTTCTGATTATGGAAGCTGGCTAAATACCACTATCCAAACTATGTCTGAAAAGTCTACTAGATCAGTACTAGAAAGGATTTTGATGTTTCCCCCATTGGGCAAAGCAGGACCCCTGCACCAGGGCATGGTTGAAGCCCAAAGGGCAAAGAGGTTTCATTCAGAGTCCCGCCAGTGTCCAGGGACCAGGTGTCATGAGGAATTCCAGAATCAGGGTGCACCTCTAGAAAACAGGATAGTTCTGAAGTTAAAAAGCAGTGGATGCTGATGTCCCCACTCACTGCAGGAGCAGTGGTGCGCTCAGTCCTATCTGGAGACAGCTGTGTTTTGGCAGGAACCCACCATATCACACTTTTGGCTAAAATAAGCCAAGTAAAGCCAAAAGAAGCACGGGGAGGAATGTGCAGGCACCTCTTTTCGTGGAGTGGTGAGACTTCTCACTTGAGCCGGTGGAGGCTGGAAGTCTTCATGCCTCTGCAGAGAGAACAGAGATCCCCTGGGTACCTCTCTGAGCATCTGCAGGTGTTTCACCCCTTCCCACTGCCTCCCTCCAGCCTCCCCCCAGTGTGTGCAGTCTCTTGAGTCAGCTCTTCCCAGCATTTCCCCCTCACTGCTGCCAGCCAGACCTCCCCACCCTCTGTCCCCAGCCATGCTGCAGGAGCAAGGAGGAGTTTGAGCCTTGTTGACCCCCAAAACCTTGAAATTATAACTCCTGCCTCTCCATTGCCAGTGATAATGGGCACAACAAGTGGTTTGAGTTGGGGGGATGATGTGATGCTGGCAACCCCCCAGCACCTGTGAAAAGTGGGAGGTGATAAAGAGCCTCCCTCCTGCTCCCTGCCAGACTTCAGCCCAGTTTGGTTTGTTTTTTTTTTTTCTTTTATTCTTTTTTTGGTTGGTTTTTTGGTTTTTTTGTTGGTTTTTTTTTTTTGATTTGGAGCAGTGAAACCGAGCACAAAATGTAATCCAAACAAACACCTCTCTATGCAACCACTTCCCGACCGGGCACCAAAACCTATCCAGCACAACAAGGGATACAAGGATCTGAAATACCTACTGGTTGTGGCTGAAGCCCATAATTCCCCGTGTTCCTAATGAGCTGACGTTTAGAAACGCAGTTTATCCATCTCCCAAAGGCACTTACCATCGGAGGCACAGCACAAGAACACGTGCTGTGGGGACAAGCGGTGACAGTGCGGCTCTGGTGACACAAAGAGGGTCTCTGGGTGCTGGTTGTGATGCCCACCAGCTGGTCCTGTGCCAAGGCGGAGGAGCTGAAACTAAGAATGGGCTTCTTTCTGGTATCGTACTTCAGACCCTGACCAAGCACTTCTGCCAAAGATTTGGACTTTATTGCACTATACCCAGGCCAAGTCCTTCTGCTAATGTTTTTGCCATGTCTCACCATGGCTTCCTGCTTTGGTTTTTGGTTGGTTTTTTTTTCATTAATTTTTGTTTGTTTTCCTTTTTTTTCCCCCCCTTCCATTATAATTTTGTTCTTGCTTTTCGGTGTGACTTCTTGTACTCTATGACAATAACCTTCTTAGCTCTAATGTCCCTCCTACCCCTCAGCAGTTGACCAAGCTCCACCAGTTGGCTATGCAGCAAACCCCCTTTACTCCCCTTGGACAGACCACCCCCGCTTTCCCTGGTACGTACCCACACGCCCTTTCAAGATATCCTTCTCTTACCTGTAGAGTTTCTCTCTCTTTCTAAACTCATGCTATTTAATGGAAATGAGCAGGGCAAGTAAAAAGTTGCAATGTCCACGGGGAAAGGCTAACTAGAGATGGATATTTTGGGGGTCCTCAAGGGCGAGCTCTCAGCCCTTTGCCATGCATGCCTGGACTCACTCCCAGCTTTGCTGGCTTTCCCAGCAGAAGTGATGACCACCATTAGGGTCCTTCCCTTCATGGAGGAGGAGGCAGCATCCCCTGCCACGCGCTGATCCAGACCCCGGTGGGACATCCCCGCTTTCCCGGGGGGAGTGGCTCGGTGCCGGCCGGGGATGCTGCCTCGGTGTGTGTGGGGAGCGGTGCCGAGCCAGGCAGGATGGCACTCCCACAACGGGGAGGAGTTGTGGCTGTAGGAGGCCGCATTGACAGGAGCACAGCCAGCCCTGAGCCTTGTCCTCAAGGCTGGCATGTTCACAGTGACCTGGGAAGCAGATAGAGCACAGGGGATGGAGATACTTAAAGTACCGGTTGGAAATGCCTTTTCTGACAATATGTTCATCATATTTTGAGCTTCCTAGATGAAGTGACATTGCTTATCTCCTTGAAGGCAAAAGCATTAAACCTGTTTCTTCTTTGCTCTTCAGGAGAAAAGCTGCCCTTACATTCCTCCGAAGAAGCTCAAAATCTGATGGGCCAGTCATCAGGTAAAACACAAAGCTAGAGGGAAATAAGCAGGCTTTGGTTGAAATATATATATTCCGTTATAGGACCATGCCATTGTTGTGCTCTGAGAGGAATCATGGTATTTGTGGAGAAGACAGCAGGTTTTCTTGGTGGGCAGGGAGAGGCCAGGCAGCACTGTTCTTCTTTGTACAGCATGTCAAAAGAAAAGTGCCTGGACTTTATTGCCTGGTTTTGTGATATTTGTGTGTAACTGCCATAGAATCACAGAACATCCTGAGGTGGAGGGACCCACAAGGATCATCGAGTCCAACTCCTGGCCCTGTGCAGGACAGCCCCAAGAATCCCACTATGTGCCTGAAAGTGTTGTCTAAACACTTCTTGAGCTCTGTCAGGTTTGGAGCCATGACCACTGCCCTGGGGAGCCTGTTCCAGTGCCTGACCACTCTCTGGGGGAAGAACCTTTTCCCAATATCCAGCCTAAACCTCCTCTGACACAGCTCCAGCCGTTCCCTCAGGTCCTGTCACAGGTCATCAGAGAGCAGAGGTCGGTGCTGCCCCTCCACTACCCCTCATCCGCAATGAGTTCTCCCTCAATGCCATCTGCGTAACAGGAGGATATCAGAGTCATCACCCTTATCCCTTCATTTAATTTTGCCTAAACTTTGCTCAGAAACAGCAGAAAAATGCCAGTGGGAACAGCAATGACATGCAGCTTTAGCCATCTCCAAGCCATTCAGGGTGAGTTGCAATTTTAGTGGGACAGGACCCTGAGGAGCCAGAGCATGGCTGCAGCCTTGGAGAAATTTTGACGGCAGATGTCCCACATTCATCCGTATGTGCGGAATGGATCTGTCTTTTCTTACCTGCCATTGCTTAGAGGAGTTATCCTGAGACCTGGAGGTTCACAGGCAGTATGAGCCAGACCTCCCTGGGCATGCCTGGGGCACACAGCCATCCCATGCATGCCTCAGAAGTTTGAGGATGTCACCTAACTATGAAAGCAAATGTAGCCCAAGTAGATAGACCCCACAAGACTGCAGAAGTAGAGATTTCATGATGCTGACCTGCGCAGCCATGTTTTCTGCATGTCCTCTTTGCCCTTTGCAGTCACCCAAGGCACTAATCCTGCCCTGACACCTTCATTACAGCCTCAGGGACTGCTTGTGCATATCAGAGAGGGAGAATCTGGAGTGCTAAAATAAACCAGTCTCCAGGTAATGGGGAAGCCATTCCTTGATGGCTCTGTGATGCAGGGATGGTGCAGTACCATGGCACCTTGTGTCCCAAGGGCTTTCAGCAGCACCCATGGCATCTGAGCACGGGACAGGAGATGCCACCTATGAGTCTGAGGAGCTTAGCTCGTATTCCCAAAGAGCCCTGGATGCCTCAGTGCTGCTCTGAGCCCATCCCCAGTGCTCTGCTCCCTTCAGAAGACATTTTCTGCCATACCCAGGCTGCTACTGAGCTGAGCCTTGTAATGCATGACTGAGAGGCTGGGACACCCTCCTCTGAGGGGCATGTCTGTGTTAGGTGCAGTCCACCTTGCCTGAACTGTGAGGAAGCTCAGTGTGCAAGACAGTCCAGGGCTGGTGAAATGTGTGCTGTAAAGTCAGCAGTGAGCATTGCCTGTGGTGTAAGAGCTGGGCAGGATCTGTTTTGTGCAGGGTTTGGCATTAGTACCCCTGGCAGGGGTGAAGGACAGCAGAGGGCTGCCTAGCCGAGGATTTGCGTCCCCAGTTCTAACATCTCCTCTCATCTCCGTGCTCCCAAGTGAAAAATGTGGTGAGGAGACCTCCTGCAAGGGAGGTGTGTCTGGGAAGCTGCATTCAGGAGAGCGCAGGACTCAGACTCGTAGAATCATGGAATTGTTTGGGTTGGAAGGAGCCTTAAAGCCCATCTCATTCCAACCTCCTGCCAACCCCCACTAGCCCAGGTTGCTCCAAGCCCAGTCCAGCCTGGCCTTGAACACTTCTAGGGATGGGGCAGCCACAGCTTCTGTAGACAACCTGTGCCAGGGCCTCCCAACCCTCACTTCCTAACAGCCTAACATCATGCATGAGCACATCCAAGTTACCTGGAGCTCCTCTTCCTCAGTGCTGCGGCCCTCGATGGAAATATGTGAGGAATTTGGAGCTGCTGCTGTCTTCTTTTGCAGCAGCCCTGCATTTCCAGTCTCCTTATTCTCTTTATTCTGCACCTACTTACTCCCCTTTCCACAGATACAGACCTGGCAGTCTCCTGTGCTCTAAAAATCCTTTATCAGTGGTCTATATCATAAGGATGAGGGGTTTTTTTTCCAGTTACTACGAATTCCCATCAGCCACCAGACAGCTGCTTTCTTGCAGATTTGGCATAGGACATCCCTACTTCGGCACTGAGGTGATTTAATATGGAAAATCGTGGGAGAGGCAGGCTTTGACCTGGCCTAGGAGCGCTATGGCATGGTGTCCTCTTACCTCCGGAGCTGCACACACAGGGTATCCTGCTGGCTCCAGCCATTCCCACCATGGAGGAGAGAGCTCTCCCTGATCCAGGAGAGGCTGGGAGGAAGCACGCCTCTGCCTTTGCTCTTCGGCGTGTAATTTTGTAGGGAAGCAGGATCTGAATCTCCATACTGTTTATCTTGCTTTCCCTTGGGAATAAGAGGGACAGCTGGTCCTGGGTCCAGCTAGGTTGCATGTCTTAGCAGTCTGGCTTAAATTTAGGGTGAGTCTGTGGGGCTTTAACTTGCAAAGGACTTGTGCCAGTGCTGCTGGATTCCCTGGGGAAACCAGTTTTGGGACACCAAGCTGCTGTCATACCAAAGCAGCTCAATGCTGCTGCATCCAGAGAGGGCTGGAGGGTGCATGGACAGCATTCCTGCTGGGCTGGTGAGTGTCCTAGCCAGCATGCTCTCTGCTGCTGTGTGGAAAGGTGTTTTTCCCACCTCTCTTTGGTGATGCTGAAACCCTGCACCCTCCTCTGAAGCCATTCCCAGTGGGAGGATGAAGGGTGGGAAGCGAGGCACTCATGGGGCAGCTCAAGGGATGCAGGGAAGGTGACACCCAGCTCCAGCAGAGTCAGGTAGCAACCATCTTCCCCCTCCTTGTCCCAGAGTGTGTGATCCCCTTCCCCTCCCACCCCGGAGCAGGACGCAGCCTTTGCAGCGTTGACTGTTGTGGGAAAGCAGTGGAGCTCCATCGTGCTGCCTCTGCAAGCTGTAATAACCATGTCTCCTTGCATATGCCCAGGTTTGGATGCCAGTCCCCCGGCCAGTACTCATGAACTCACCATTCCCAATGATGTAAGTAGATCCAAGTGCTTCCTTGGCATGTCTGTGTGTGCGTGTGTGTAGACACATATATGTATATGTGTGTGTATATATATAAGCTGCAGCCATATGGCTTTGTTAAATATATTTAGAGGTGCCCCTTCATCATGTTCCCTTATCCATGTGCAGTCCGTTGGGGATCAACCTGCAGCATAAAGTGCCCACTTGACTTTACCCCATCGGTAGCTTCCCTAGGTACAATCCTTAATGCTCTATTTCCCTTTCCAAGTGAACTCAGTGCTCATGAAACATGCCCAGTTGATAGCACTGGGAAAGGGAGAGAGCTCCCATGCCAGCCCTGATTAAACTCTTAATTGCTTAATCAGGCACTGGCACGTCTGAGATGATGTTTCAGCTCAAGGGTAGTGAGTGGGCTGGGGGGGGTGGTGAAGAGGAGGTAAGTAAATAACATTTCTCATGCCACAAAGTGCCACACAAGTGTGTGAAGGACGGTGTGTCTCATCTCAGTGCTGGTGACAGGCAGCTTTGGAGTCTTAACAGATGGAGGAGTTGTGGGTGTTGGACTGGGATATTTGGTGGGACAAGGCTGGAGTCATGCTGGGCAGGGTGCTTGGGGATGCTCCAGTGGAAGGAGGTGGGATGGAGAGCACAACACAGCCAGCCCCTGGATTCATGTGTCTCACTTGCTTCTGGACTGGCCCACCGGTTTCTATGGATTAAGAACCAATCTGCACTCCAATCAGGAGAAGGGCAAGCAGGGGGATGACAGCCAGCCTCTGTCCCCATCTCCATCACCAGCAAGCACCTTCAGCCCGTCCTCATCAGGAGTCCCTGGATGGGGTCTGGCAGCTGTTGCTACCTCTTCCTGCTGTTCACCAACACCCAGCAGCACGAGGGAAAGGCAGCAAGCCCGGCTGCAGCTGCCTGGCACCTCTGCCAGGACCTCCTTCCGCCCAAGAGACGTGGCAGTGCAACAGCTTCTGAGCATCTGCCAGCTGAAACCCTCAGAGATGCTTCACCCCAGGGCCAACCACCGTGGAGCAAATCTCCAGAGGAGTCTGTGGGAGATTAATCACCAGTCTGCATCTGTCCGTCCAGCAAGGACCCCTCTCCAGGAGACTGCAGGGAGCTCTGCAAGCGCTCCAGAGGTTCCAGCAGCCGTGTCTGTGGAGCCTGGAGGACCGTAGCAATCTTCACAAATATCAAGAGACCCCTTGCAAAAGGGGAGGAAGGGATGCCAGGGGACCTCCCAGAACCCAGGAGCACTCAGAGCATTCACTCGCCAGAGACTCGGCTCTCAGCAGACCTGAGCAGCATTAAATGTCATCACCTGCATCTTGAAAAATTTCTCCCTACCTCTTCCTCCTGTAGTTTTGAAGGCTTTTAAACGCTGCTACCTTCTCAGGAAGCAGAGGACAGGTGTGATTTTCTTTAAGGGTCTCCTGGTGTGTTTTAGTGGTATAGCTTGGCGTTGTGCTGCAATTTAAGTTGTGCTGCAGTGAACATTTGGAGGAGTAGTCGTCTCCACTTCTGCCATGGCAGAAATCCAGCAGCTGCCAAGATGAACATCCCACTTATAAAATGCCCAGGCGCAACCTTAGAAAAGAGCTCAGATGTCCAAAAGGGGATGCAGAAACACCTCATGCCTGTGTTGGCCAATATGGATATCTTGCTATGTGTCACCAAGCTTCAGAGATCAAGTTTGAGGGAACCACCATGTGGTGCACAAATGAGTGAAAACAAAGACCATTGAGGAAATTCAAGCCATCGAGGTCCATTGAGGAAATTCAAGGGATGGACATTTGCGGATATTCAAACCTCCATCTGGCTCTGATTTTTTCACAAGAGCGTGAAAGATGTGTTTTTAAGTAGGAGTCACCTCTTCTGCGGGTGCCACAGCCACATGGTGCTCTCCTGAGCATGCCAGTGAGCCATTGGATTGCACTGAAAGAGCTAGAGGGGGTAACAGAGGCACCGAGGGCATCCCAGTGGGGTAGAAGGAATGTGGGAGGGGGCTCCTGAGGTTGGGCTGTCCCCAGCAAAGGCAGAGGGCTTGTTTCCTTCTAGTAACATGTCCAAACCACATTTGAGTTTGCTGTAACTGGCAAAAGGATAAGTAACTTGCAAAACACTGACCATTTATTAGACCACAAAAATTATTATTACTGAAATGAGCCCTCCTTGAAGCCCTCTGAGATGCTGGGCATGACGTGTGGATACTGGAGGTTTTGCCCCCACAAGGAGCAGAGTAGGGCAGGCTGCTGGATGAGTCCTGGGAGGACTATGCTCGTGTGCAGGTGGGATTCACCCCCGGGCTGTCCCTCTCCTGTTTTCATGAGCACTAAGGTCACACGTGCCCCAGGGCCGTGCAGTTGTGCACGCATCCCGCTGGCGACGGTCAGAGCTGCCGCTTCTCAGACGTTCCCTCCGTGCTTTTTTTCCTAGCTAATAGGCTGCATAATCGGACGCCAAGGGACCAAAATCAATGAAATTCGGCAGATGTCGGGAGCGCAGATTAAAATCGCCAACGCCACGGAAGGGTCATCGGAGCGCCAAATTACCATCACAGGAACCCCTGCAAACATCAGCCTTGCGCAGTACCTCATCAACGCCAGGTGAGACCCCCCGCAGACCTCCGCCACCTCCTGCCACGGCCAATCCCATCCTGTTGGCCTGGTGGGAGCAGCCCTCGCTCCCGGCACCATGGGCCAGGAGGGGCTTCCCAAGGCCGGCTGGGACAGTTGGTGTCTTGCTGAGAGCTCTGAGTGGAGACCAGACGTCACCAGCGGGACATCTCCCTCCAGCCGGCGCTTTGGCTGGGGACTGGGAGCTGCTTCACCGCTGGCGGGTTGTGCCAGTCACCTGCCCGCCTGCCACCCTCGCTCCTGGATTTTGCTCACGGGTAGGGCAAAATCACCGTCGTCTTTCTCTGTGGATGAGGCAGAAGACGGGGACAGGGATGGAGCTGAGATGGTGGCAGGGAGGCATCACTTGGGACCTGCTTGCTGGGATCCCAGCGTCGCTTACTGCCTCTTCCACGTGCTTCCAGACCTCCCAAAGGCTTTCCTCCATCCAGTGAAAGTAATCAGTCCAATAAGCGCAAGACATGGGAACAGCCTGATTGCTTCCTTTTCATCATGAAAAGCTTGGCGCAGCAGGACTTCACAGTGGCCAAGGGTTCCCAAAACTGCCACAGGCTAGGGGGAGATGCAGCCCATGCTGAGGGGGATCAGGGGTCTGGCAAGGCACTGAGAGGGGAGCATGCAGGGGAGGTGTAGCTGGAGAGACAAGTTGGGGACTAGCTCCATGCTGGCAGTGAACTGTCTCCACTCAGACCTGTTTGCCTGTGTGTATGGACTCATGGATAGAGAGTTTAAAGGGATACAGGACCTTTTACTGGCTTTGCACCCACCTGGCACAGCCACACAAGCAAGCCTGTCCACCTCTGTGTGTCCTCCGCTACGGGCAGGATTGATGCTGTGCCATCGCATCGGATATGTGCAGCTGCAGGAGGCTGCTGGCAGGGTCCCGAGGACAGGGGGCTGTTGGCGGCGACTCTGACATTTGTTGGGGTGTGGGCTGGGAGTACCGGTGAGGTCTGTATGTGCTTTCTCCTCCTTGCACCCAACCCACCTCAGCCCCGACCCGCAATAGACCCCCATCATCCCATCCCGCCCTGCTGTCCTGCTGCCCATGCCCATGGCACCTCTTCACCTCCTTAGGTGAGGGATGGGGCCAGCCCCCCACGGGCATGGCTGAGCGGCTTTCCAATCCCAGCTCCTTGCCAATCCCCCCTCCACCTCCTGAGACAAGTGAGAGAAAGAAAAGAAAACCAAGCGGCTCTTCGTTGCTGGGAAGGGCTGGCTGAGCTGCCACCTCTGCAGAGATGACCTGACGGGGGGCAGGATGGGGCTCAGCCTCTCCCACAGTTTACAAAACCAGAGCAAAACGAAGCAGCAGGGGGAGATGGCACAGCTGCCTGTCCCCCGTGGGAGAGACGCTTCTAGAAGAGAAGCCATGCACAGAGTTGTCTCCTGCCTGTGGTGGGTGACATCTCTGCTACAACACAGTGATGGTAACGGGCACTACCTGGCAGCTGTGAGGAGTGGCAGCCAGCCATTATGCTGACTCTATGCTCCAGCCCCCTGTGCCCTCCACAGAGGACCCCAAGCCACCCAGAGATGCTCTGCCCACCCCGTCTAAGCAGGGCGTAGGCAAGAGGAGGAGCACTGCCCCACAGGGTCTTCGTTTTCTTTTCTGCTCCGGTGATTAAGCGCTTGTTTTTGTCTCCCCCCCACCCCTCTCTCTGCCCCTGTCTATTCTAGGCTGACGTCTGAGGTCACTGGAATGGGCGCACTCTAATTTCCACCCACCATCCTCCACTCCGCACCACCTGACCCTCTCCAGCCACCGGCACTCCACCCAGCCTGTACTGCCTGTACATTTACCGTCTTCCCTTTGCCTCCACAGATACTCTTTTCTTTACTAATGAATATATATATATATATATAAACACACATGCACATATGCACACACTGGAACGGTTCTTTACAAGCTCCTTGCTGTGCTCCCAAGGCTGCTCCCAAACTCTTTGGTTATGGTCCTTGTTTTCAGCGTACGGTGTTAATACTTCATCTGCTTTTTGGGGATGAGGGAGGGGGGAGAGGGGTGTTTTTTTTCTCACTGGTGAGACTTCCGGAGATGACAGGGTCTCTAGTGTCAGTCTAGCGTAGCTACTTACACGTTTGAGTTGACATTGGCGGTACTTTCTGTAGCCTATGGACATATGTGATGCCAACCAGAGTTGTGCGTGCTTCAGATGAGTTACTTTTCTCACCCTTCTTCCTTTGGTGCTCCCTCTTGCTTGTCCTGGCTCACCTTTGCCACCTCACATCCCTGCCCTCAGGGTACGGGTGTAGTTTTCACCCTGTGTTATTTGGGAAGCGGAACGCGCACGGGAACCACAGGTTCACCCCCAAGCTTCTCTCTTTGAACATGGCATGGTCCAGACAAGCCCTTTTTCATATTAAATAAAGGGAATCACACACACACACACACACACAAATGCTCCTTTTTTTTTAACTAACGAGCAACTGGAAGTGGGAAGAACTCAGCTGTGTGGGATTCACACCCCCAGGGGCCTTTGAAAGCACTCTTTTGGCAATCCCCATGGGCAAAACCTTTGGACGATAGCTCAGGAAGCTCTGTGAGCTGGCTGTGTTTGTCGTTGTTTGTGTTCAATAAATGTCTGTGCAGCTCTGGTACCAATGGGCTCCGACTGTTCTTCTCCTGGGTCGCCCCACCAACTCCAGCCCCATCCTTCCCTCTGCATTCTCCCACACCTTTTTAGCTGCTTGGAAGGAAGGTGGGGGTTGTATACAATAGTTCTTCATTGCTATTATTATTATTACCATCACCATTGTAATTTTTTATTTTATTTTGTTTAGAGAAGGTCCCCAGGAGTGATGCACTTCCTGAGTGATTCCATGCTTTCTGTCTTTTTCCAAAGGGAGAGTATTTGGCTTGCATAATCTTTTGGTTTTCCTTAAGATTAATTTAAAAGTTATGGTACAACAACCAACATCTCTCACTGCCTCCTTGTCTGGACGGATCTGCCATGTCTGTGCCCCACACCCTTCCCCAAGACCCTCTATGCCCAGTCCTGCCTTCTGCTTCCAGGCTTTTATTCTCTCTCCTACCTCTCAAATAGGAAAACAAATATGTTTCCTGCCTGTTAATTCCTGACTGTCCCTTTTTTCAGACTGCAAATGAGGGGATCATGATACACCATGTCCCCAGACAGCTGAAGCAGCCGCACTGTACATTTTTGCACTGTACCACATGGGAAATATATTGTTTTTCCAGGTGAGCCCCAAGACTTCATGGCCTTTCCCTCTCTTCCACCCTCAGTGCCGGCAGGAACCGCTGGCAGCTTCCCACCTTTCTCCTGCTGGGATGCTGGATCACTTCTCCTCCTGTCTTCAGCGCTGACTGCTCAGCACTCACACAGGGCTACGTCAGGGACTCCGGGTGATGCCACCTCATCAGTGGAGCCAAAGATGGGCAGGGGGTTATGGGCTCCAGCAGGGAGCTAGCAGGGATGAGAGCACAGCCCTGGAAGGTGAAGGTGGCTGCCAGCCCCTGCTGCTGAGCATCAGCCATTTGTTCAGCCCAGGTGTCCTAAAACCCGTGCATGCTCAGCTCTCCGGAGCATTCCAAGCCTCTGTGGTTACAGGTACTCCCAGATCCTCCATAAGATGCTTTGCTGCCCATCCCCAACCCCTTGCTCTGCTCTTCTTGACACTTTGGGTTCAGCTGTGCCTTTTGGGTGGTCCAGCAGCAGACATGCTAAAGACCATCCCCTGATTCCCCATCTGAAGAAGTGCAGATGCTTTGGGCAGTGCTGCTGTGGGCTCAGGTGGAGCCAGTAGCCTCTGCTGACATCATCTCCCCCTTGTATTTGTGCTGATGCTGAAGATGGAGGGAGTCAGGCACCAAATGGTTCCTCCCCCAAGTTGCTGACTGGCCAGCACAAGCACAGAACCACCTGCCAAGGTGGTGAGTCAGTTGTGGGCAACTGGCACTCCTCATCTTCTCCTTTTCATCACTCTCCAGCAGCACCGTGTTGACCAAGGCCGAGAAATCCATCACAAGCCAACACGGTTGTGGGGTTTGTGCATCTGGGAGCACAACCGCATCCTGACGACAATGAAGGTGGAAATGGCTTTGCCCGGGAATTGGCGGTTTCTGCAGATCACATCTGCCCTGAATTCCTTTGCTCTGTGTGCACTGTGCTCCCCATGCTATTCCCCCACCTCTACTGAGACAGCGCTGCCCAAAATAGCAAATGCCAGATTGGGTCTGCCAGATGCAGCCGAGCTCAGAGGCTACTGGAGAGGGGGAGCAGTCAGCAGCAATTCCTTTACACCCATTCCCACGCCAGCAAACCCACGGATAACATCCACCTCCAGGTGCCATCCCCATTCCAGCCCACTGCCATGCATCCATCACCCAGCAAGACTGTGGAAAAGCCTCCACAGGAATCGATGGTGAAGGAGAGGAGGTTGGATATAAGCATTGCTCTGGCATCAGGCCAGTATCCAAGACGTCGTGTCAAGGCTTGTGCTGCAGCAAGGACCTGTGCTCAGGGAAGTGCTCCAGGGAATGGTAGATATGGCCACGGGGGACAAAGGGCGGACCAAGCAGTAGCAGTCACCTCAGGAGAACTGCACAGTCATAGAATCATGGAATATCCTGAGTTGGAAAGGATCCACAAGGATCATCCTGGCCCTGCACAGGACAATCCAAAGCATCCCTCCTGCTGGCATGCCCTTTGACTTCGCAATTTCTCTTTAATCAGCTTATCCATCATCATCTGGGCTTGAGCATGGTTTGGAGAAAGAGGGGTTGGAACCACTGCAACATCTCCTGGGATCATGTTGATGATAAGGAGGATAACAACGAAATCACAAGGAATGTATCAAGTTTGGCTTTGATTTCTTCAGGATGGCTCAAAAGGAGATTTGCTGCTTTCTTTGGAAGGAGCCTCAATGTTTTGCTTTGATTTGCGATAAGTCTTGGGTTTCCATTTTGGATGAACTTAAAAATGCTCCAGTGATGCATACACAGCCATGCCACTGGGAAAAATTTCTAATATTGTACTGAATATTCCATACAAGGTGAACATCCCAGTTAATCAACTTTAATACATTGTTTTTCTCTCCCAAAACAATGCATTTTATCCGGCCAGAATAATTCAACATTTCTGGAAGCAACCAGCTCAGTCAAACTCTTTGGGAATGAGTTATTTTGTGGGAAATTGTGACTTTGACTGGAAAGTGTTGATCCAGTGTCCCCAGAGTGTGGGGGTCTCCATCAGAGAGGGGCCAGCTGAGGTCTGTGCTCAGCCCTTTGCCCTCAGCTGAAGGTCTCCACTGCCCCCACATATCCTTGTTGTGCTCCCAAAATTGTTTGGAGTATTGTTACATGCTATTTTTTTTTCCCCTAGACTGTATTTGCAAATGTAGTACATAATAAGGTTGAAAAAAATAGACTGTTTCCCCTAAGGGAAAGTGACTTTCACCAGGGAGACTCTTTAAATTTGAAACTCTCTTTGAGCTGCTTTTCAGGGGTTTGTTATGTATCCATGCTAGTCACTTTTAATTATGCTAATTCCAAGCTTATGGTCCATTAGCAAGGGTAATTTCCCCTCTCCGGTGCCGGCAGAGGTAGGGTTTCTGTGTGCTGTGGTAGGGATGAATGCTTAGTCTCATTTTCTCCTTGGCCACAGGGATGGAAGGCATCTCTCCTAGCCCTGCCTGGCTGCAGCCCCCAGCCCCTGGGAGGGAGGTATCCCTGTCCCCAGCTCTGGTGCCCCCCCGGCAGGTCGCTAGGTGTCCCCATTGACCAGCTTTTGCACGCCTCCTGCTCCAGCCGGGATGTGGGAAGCACTGGGATGTCCACTGCTTCCAGCTGCTGATCCATCTGCGTGCAGAAGACATCCCACGCTGCTGGAAAGGGAGTGGGGTTTTGTGTGTGTCCTCCCCCCACACTGGTGACGAGCAGTGACATCCACCGAGCGTGTGGCTGGCACCGCGTGCCACTGCGGGAAGGGTCCCATCAGTGCTGGGACCTTCCTTGAGCCGCCTCAGCCCATATGGACAAGGACTCCTTGGCCATGGGTGTCCCCACGCTCTCGGGATATACCGGCTGTGCCAAGGGACAAGGTCGGTGGCACAAGCCACCACCTTACGGTGGCCCAAGGCCGTTCAGTCTGGCAGAGGGACAAGGTTTTGCTGGAGAGGTCCCGAGGGTTTCCACCCCTTGTGGTCTCCGGGGAGGCCAGCACTCGCAGGCAGGATGCTCTGTGTCTTGGCTGGCAGCAGGAGCGGCTGCAGCTGGTGGAATGACTTGCAGAAAGGTCAAGGTCTCAGTGCAATTCCCCTGCTCCCATGTTGGATATCACAGGGAGCTGGGACTCTGCTGAGGGGGATATTTTTGCTTTCCCTTCAAAAAGAATGCAGCTGCAGATCTTAATCTGCTGTGCTGGGCAGCGAGCCTTAGGCCCCTGTCCAAAGGGTAACGTGGCAGTGACTTTTAGGAAGTACTGAATGTACCAGATGTGCAACTCCTTCCACTCCAGATGTGCAATCCCCCTCCCACTCTGCCTCAGCGCAGTTGTCCTGCAAAGAGGAAGATGAGACTCCAGATCACTCAGAAAGCATCCCACACACTAAATCCAGCCAAGTGCAAAGCCAGACTGGCTCTGTATTCCCACACTTGTGTTTAGGCAGTTTAACCGCAGGGATGTCTCTTCCCAGAAATGATGCTCATGCCCGCTCCACATGCGGGGAATAAAACCAGCCGGAAGATGGAGAACATGATGGAGCAGCAGGAAGAGGCTTCACGTCTGAGCGCCTCACTGAACCACAGCCTGTGGCTGATTCAAAACACGCGTGCTATTTCTAGAAGGAACTGCTTTGATCCCAAAAGAGAAGTCTGTGATGTGCATGAGGACTTGAATATTTGAAGCACGCTTGGAGCACTGTGTCCCGGTTCCCTGCAGGCACTGTCACTATTTATTCCTAGAGAAAGCCTGTGTCTAAGAGCATTTGCATCTGGATCTAAAGGGGGATGAGTGACACTTGGCTCTGGAGCTTCTCCAGGTTTTGATGCATCAGATGAGATTTGGTGGTGTAGGATGCTCCATGGAAGCAGGGGCACAGTGGAGGAGTGAGATGTGCTGTGGAAGTGTGGGCATGGTGGTGATGGGCCACCACAGCCAACCGGCAGCATGGGGAGAGCAGGATGGAGGGATGGAGCAGCGTCACTCTGGAATTCAGGGTTGCATGCATAGCTTGGGATCAAACCACAGCGGATATCCAACAGGATTTCCCAGTTCAAAGGGGAGCAAGACATGATGTGCTCACCCAAAAGCACTCAATTAGTGGTGTGGGGTGTTTTTTTTGGTGGGAAGACATGGATGTAGCAATGATGTAGCCTGAGGCCTCTGCTGCAGCTGGTGATATGGTTTTCCCAAGGGATGCTGCTGCATTCTGCTAAGCATGCAGCCATGCTCCTGAATGTCTTACAGGAGAGCTGCAGAGGAACTGTCCATAAAAATCCAGTTAGGGATGCATACCCAACACCCAGGGAAACCACAATCTCCGTGTTTAAAACAAATTTTCAGTTGCATAGCTAAAATTTATTTTCTTGCCATGAGTAGATCTCCCATCTGCATATTTTGGGCTGAAACATG